CTTGTATCCCAAACCCCATCACTGACTAAACTAGGCTGGGTGATCCACAGCTATGGCAGTACCTGCTAGGTAGAGAGGCAGGAGGGTCAGAAGTTCAGGCTCATCTTCGACTACGTAGCTAGTTTGAGCACAGCCTGGGATACACCAGACCTCATCTAAACAAGTGTGAATGAATGAGCAAAGCATGCGGTTGTCTATATGTGAGTGCATGTGGTCGCTGTACCTACGCTGTAAAACTCGGACAGAATTGATACAAGAGCATTTCTGGCAATAAAAGAGCAACGCAAGTTTGGATACAAACATTTTGGTTCAACAAATAATGAAATGGTCCATGTTTGAGGTTTTTTTTTTTTTAAATGTTAGTTTTTGATCTTCCAAGGCTCAAAGTACATTGCTGAAGACAGGGTGGGAGGAATGTAAGGGGCAGAGAATGATGGGTAGAAGCTGCGAAGTGCTGCCTTCTGAATATGATGTGGCCGCTCAATCCATGAAAGCACAGAAGCTATGGTTACCTGCACAAGGCTCTAGTCAGACCTGCCAGTCAACATTCTTGCATGGATAGAGGCCTGAGCTCATGAGGCCCCACCCCTAGCTGAAGAGCTATTGCCACAGCTCTTCCCAGAGCAATAGCTGCTGGGGAAGAGGAGTCGTTTTTCAGGGTTGTGGGGTGGTAGGCTGCCCATGCTCTGGTAGGTAGCCCTCTACGCATGGATATGCAGGCAGCACTAACTGGACTTTGTGGGCTATAAAAGAAATAACATGAAGGTGGGAGGGAGGAAGAGGAGGGTTGGATTTGACCTGGATAAGTAGGTAATTCAGGGACAGGTTTCTGGTAGAGAGGGCCAGGGGATGAGAAGATAAAGAAAATAGGAAACCTGGGGCCAGATGGTCTTGTACAAGCTATGTCTTGTGCCAAGAAAGATTATTAAGAAGTACAGCATCTTAAATACAGTTTGCCCAAGGAAATGGCAAAAAGTCAACAGGAAACTTTTGTACAGTGGGGCAAAGTCCGCAGGAAGCTGATCAATGTTACACAAAGGGAACATAGGATATCTCAAGCGTGCCACAGATCAAGGACATAGCGCCATTAAGGAAAGGGTTGGCGTCTCAGGATCTGAAGTCACAGCTCTCCCAAGGCCCTGGCCCTTGCCCAGGCCATTACTACACTTGCTGTGAAAGTGGCATTGCTTCCACTGAGCCATTAGATTAGACCTCCAGGCAGCGTGAGACACAGGCCTGTAGTCATGGATGTACATTCTGATTCTAGCACCTCTAGCTTTGATCTCAGACTCGGATGATTAAATTTTCAAGTGGAGGGACTTGTCCACATCCTGGTACTAGATCTATTTTACACTGAGATGTGGCAGCACCTGCCCTGTCACCTGATAACTCATCCTGAGCTTAATCCAGGAAACCTGTCCAGTAGGAAACTCCCGCCTCTGTCCCTGGGCTCCTTCTCAGGAGCAGTTTCTCCTTTCAGTGACAGTAGGTCCACCTAAGTGACAAGACTGTCCACCCCTGGATCTGCATTTGACAGCACTACCTCCGAACAGCTCTGTTGGTGAAGCTTCTCACAGCCTTGCCCTGTGTCCTGGGTTGCTCTCCGCTTCCATTTTCAGGACAGCCTCTCTTAAAAACAGCCTCTGCTCCATTTCTTAGTCATTTGTGAAAGAAACAGTGCTACCTCAAGATCCAGCTATACCACTCCTAAGCATACACCCAAAAGATGCTCAAGTATAAAACAAGGACATTTGTCCAACCTTGCTCGTAGCAGTTCATAGTAGCTGAGATTATATAAGGAAGAAATGCTGGGGGAAGGCCTAGGGTTAGCAGGTGGAGTACACCAGCCAGGATGACTCTGTAACAGGGCCTGGAGAGGCTGGTGGACAGCATCCGCTTTGATATGTTAATAGCACCCCAGTTAAGCCTTTTGTCCCAGGTCCAAGACAAATGTGAGGCCTGAGAGCTGTAAGTCGGTTAGCTAGGAGTGAAGAATGTGGCATTGCCGGAAGTAGCAACTACTGAGTGAAGCCGGAGGCGGTTGGTGTCTTAAAGCCATGGAGATTGATGTGGCTTTGTAAACTTGTTGCTTAACACACTAACATTGTGGAAAGACGAAAATGTGTCTGTGTTTCTGACGTAGCTTGCTTGCGGCATAGTCTCTCTCCTTTCTATGGACTAATTTCCTGAAGGCCAGCTGCCGCCCTGCTGGGTGCTGAAGGAAAGCCCGCGCTACTCCCCGTGTGTAAACTCTAGTTTATCCAACTGCCTGCTTGGCCTCCCTCGCCTCCTTTGCTATGGTCTGCCATGGCTGTGCTTTGGCATTACAGGGTTTGATAGGCAAGTGAACTGCTCAACAGAGGCATTGCGCTGTGATCACGGAAGTCACTGTACCCACCAGTCACACACAGACACACAGACACACACACAGACACACACACACACACACACACACACACACACACACGGCCGGGACCGGGGGGAGTGGCCTGAGCTGGAAGACTCGTGTGGCTCCTCAGCTCCTCCCAGGTGTACTTATCCAAAGCATTGCCGACAGTAATGCCCCCAAACACACCATACACTTGATTTGATATGTGACATCTTGCCATCCTAAGTTCTTTTCATAAACAAACCTCACAGTAGTGCAGAGAGACCACTTCCTGCCCTCACCTTACCTTTGTCCCTTCAGTAGCATCTCAGGTGGTGAACCCACTTCTCTCAATGTTTTTTTTTTTTTTTTTTTTTTTTGTGAGTGGGGTATTTTGCCTGCATGTATCTCTGAACTATGTTTGTGCAGTACCCAAGAAGGCCAGAAGAGGGCAGAAGATTCCCTAGGAACTGGAGTTACTGTGTGGGTACTGGGAATTGAATCCAGGTTTGTTTCAGAGCGCATACTCAGGCCACCCTGAGCCAGTTTAATCATGCTTTCTATAACTATTTGGAAAATAAAGTTAGGAAGTGGCAGCTTGTAGGCTGCCTTCTTTTGTGTCTTTAAGTCCCCATCATTCAGATATGGCCCTTCACACGGTACCAGTGCAGAGGACGTTGTTGGCAGTGTGACCTGCTCTCCTAGCATGGGGCAAGACCAGAGCAGGTCTGTCTGTCTTTAGTGAGGCTTACTGCAGGGGGTCTGGGGTGTAGAGAAGAAGCTGGCTGGCTGTGTGGAATGCTGTCTAAGGGAAATACACAATCATTTCTTCTCGGACAACCGAGCAGTCCATCAGGGCTATGTTCAGTCCTTACAAGGTACAGAGGTGCTTAAGACATGGACCCAGAAATGTAAAAACGGAAGAGACTGGGGGGCAGGCAGGCGAAAACAACAAAGAACAACACGATGCAACAAAACAACCAAAAAATAACTATGGGCTGACAAATCGGTGTATGCCCTATTGGACTATTTTTTTTTTGTTTGTTTGTTTTGAATTTTTGAGGCAGGGTTTCTCTGTGTAGCAGTGGCTGTCCTGGACTTAGTATATAGACCAGGCTGGCCTTAAACCCACAGAGATCCGCCTGCCTCTGCCTCCCCTGAATCCTGGGATCCCAGGTATGTGCCACCATGCCTGGCTTGGACTCCTTATCTTTTAAAAGCTTCTTTAATAAATTTTTTTATTTCTCACCCGATAGAATTGTGTGGATATCCTCTTAAAACATCTCGCATGGAAATCATTCATTATATTTTGTTTTTTATTTGTATTTGAGACAGGGTCTTTCTGCATAGCACTGGGTGTCCTGGAATTCACTCTGTAGAACAGACTGGTCTCAGACCACAGAGATCCACATGTCTGCTGGTGCGGGAATGAGCAGTCATGACAGCTTGTTCATCCAGTCCCTTCCCAATGTTGCTGTAGTTCAGGCCCTCATGCATGTGTCCCCATTGCTGTGGCAGAGATTGTCACAGATGAGTGACCTGACTGAAGAGTACACACTTTTTTTTTTTTTTTTTTTTTTACAGGGTTTCATGTGGCTCAGGCTGTCCTTGAACTCACTATGTGAGGATGACCACAGTGTGCCTCCTGAGTGCTGTGATTATATGCGTGAGCTACCACACTCAAACTTGTGTCGTGCTAAGGATAGAACCCAAGGCTTTGTGCCTGCCAGGCAGGCACTCTGCCCTCCAGGCTACATCTCCACTGGCAAGTTTTTACCTTTCCCCTGTGCTTCCATAGTGCCTTCTGGCAAGGCTTTGGTTTCTACTTCTCCACGGCCAATAATTGGGGGTGTCTTCTCTCACTTGTAACAGTCATGATGTCAGTTCAGTGTCTGACCAGACAAAGTGAGAGCTCGTTGCTGATGACCTCTGTGAACACTTGTTCCGTATCCTGTTGGCTATTTGCTTTCTCTGTTGGCACACAGCTCATCTTTCACACGAGTTATGACTAGCCTGTTCTTGCTTGCTTGCTTTATTTATTTGTTATGTATATAGTGTTCTGCCTGCATGTACACCTGCTTGCTAGAAGAGGGCACCAGATCTCATCTTAGATGGTTGTGAGCCACCATGTAGTTGCTGGGCTTTGAACTCAGGACCTGTAGAAGAGCAGTCAGTGCTCTTAGCCTCTGAGCCATCTCTCCAGCCCCTGCCTGTTCTTGTTTTAAATAGAGCTAATTATACAGACTAGACACTGAGCCTTTGTCATCTATTACAAATAAATTCAGACCAGATACGGCGTTCGCATCTTGGCTCTGCGAGCTAGTTCACTGAAGGACGACAGTAGCATGGCGAGTTTCATTCTTAGAGTCAGCTAATTGCCGAGCCACAGTAATCCACCTTCTGGAAGGGTCACAGTGAACTATAGTACCAGTGGACCAGTGCAGCTGCCGTCAGGAGTGCGGGCGGTCACGTGCCTGCTGCGCGTTGTAGCCCTTTGGCTTTTCAGGTGTTCGCCTTCACTTGCGTGTTCAACATGTTGAAAACAGTTGGGTCTCCAGGCAGGTGTGCCCCCCTGTCTTTCTCTCTCTCCTTTCTGGAAACAGGGCCCTGAACCCCCTCTTTCTCTTTTCAGAAACTGTGCCATCATTAAAGCCACACCCCCCTGTTGTGGGCAAAGTGACTCATCACAGCATCGAGCTGTACTGGGACCTGGAAAATAAAGAGAAGAGGCAAGGGCCACAGGACCAGTGGCCTAGGTTCTCCATCGAAGAGGAAGATCCCAAGATGCACAGTTACGGTGTCATTTACACGTAGGTGCAGAGGCAGCTCGTGTCTTCTTTCCTCTCTGTAGGATGGTGTGCCAGGTCTCTGAGAAGGCCCCTGCTCCTCTGAAGTTAAGGAAGGAGCCTGGGAACTTTTGGTAAATGAGCATTAGTGGTCAACCCGGGAATGAACCCTCATAACCGAGAGCTGCTTTGGCTCCTGAAATACACTGGTGTCATCACCCATGGCTAAATGAAAAGAGTTGGGTGGAGTGAGCTGTGGTTCCCATCAGGCTGCTTTGTTCATGGATACAAGGTGAAACACCGCTAGTCCGCACCAGCCCACTGCTCTCATCAACTGTGACGCCATAGTCCCCGTCTCAGCTCTCTCTATCCAAAATGGCCTCAGTCCCAGCCTCAAGGCCAGGCTTGTCCCCACATCAGGACCTTGCTCCTCAGTTTCCTAACATTTTATTCTGATTTAGTTCATATTCCCTGAATGTGAACCCTAGATGAAGTTCCCTCCTCCATCCGTGTTACCTTCTTACTCTAAGGGCCACAGACCTTGCCAGCCGCTTCCCCTGCCAGCAGCTTTACCTCCAACCCTCATTCAGGTACCTCACAGTTCAGCACTATGCTGGAGCTCTCCCACATGGTGGCTTTTTTTTTTTTTTGTCTCCCCATCAATGTTATGTACAATGGGAGAGGGGTAACATTTCTGCCTTGTGCAATGCTCTGTCCCAGCTGGATGGCTGCAGGCCCTTGCAGAGCTGTGGCTTTCATGCAGACAAGGCCGTAGCAGGGGATCCTTTGCATCAGCCATGCCTTAACCTCTCTTGGCTGCTTAGCCCTTCGCAAAATGAAGTCACCTCTTCCTGTGAGGTAGGAATGCCAGAAAGAGATGCGGGTGCGCGTCTCACTTAGCCTTCTCTGTGGGTACAAGGCGTAACACAGAAGAGCCCGGGCGCCTCCCCTACCTTTCCCTGCTGCCCTGGGACATAGCCCTGCAGGAAATCAGAGGCAGCAGGAAGGCAACGGTGCAGTCAGGAGCCAGGATGTTTGGTTAGCTCCCTCACGCTGATACGGGAAGGTGGGGGCCGGCCCATATGGTGGTGACACACCTCACGACTTTTCAGATTGCACGTCACACCACCATCACCTTTTCCCCTCTCTCTAGCGCCACTCTTCCCTCCACCCCACTCTTTAGTTGCTGCCTAAGTGGTACTATCCTGATAATCTGAGAAACATTTCTCTGTACCCAAAAATAAATAAATGAATAAATTAAAAAATTTAAAAAAATAGTATTATCTGAAAGATAGTTAACCATATGAAAATAATTTTGGAGCCTGAATTCCTGTCTCAGTTTTCTATTGTGAAAAACACTTCGACCAAAAGCAACTTGGGGAGGAAAGGGTTTACCTCAGCTTACAGTTCCACAGCACAGTACAACGTGAATGGAAGTCACAGCAGGAGCCTGGAGGCAGGACCTGATGCAGAGGTCATGGAGGAGTGCTGCTCATAGGCTTGCTCCCCGTGTTTGCTTAGCTTTCCCACCACCCACAGTGGGCTGGGCTGGGCTCTGCCATATCAGTCATTAATCAAGAAAACACCCTACAGACTGGCCTGTAGGCATATCTGGTGGGGACATTTTCTCAACTGAGGTCTCCTCTTCCTAAATGACTTTAGCTTGTGTCAAGTTGACAAAACAAAGAAACAGCCATTAAATCTCCAAGATGTTCTTTAATCATGACACATGCTCGATATGAAGGCGATTTTCTTCTCAAAAGCATACAAACATAATATAAAATGTAATGTAGTATGTATGTATGTATGTATGTATGAATGGATGAATCCATATGCATGTATGTGTAAGTCTACATACCCATGGAGGCCAGAAGAACATGTTTAGTTCTCTGCCCTATTCTACCGAAGCAAGTTCTTTCATTGAACTTGGGTTGTCCTTTCCCAATGGCTGCTTGGTAGGCTGGCTGGCTGGCTAACGATCATCCTTTCTCTTCCCACCCCAGCGCCGGCCTTACAGCCAACTTTTTAATGTAGGTGCTAGGGATCTGAACTCAGGTCCTGATGCTCTTTCTTTCTTTCTTTTTATTTTAAATTGTATTGTATTTTATTTTTTTTAAGATTTATTTATTATGTATACAGTTCTGCCTTGTATATACACCTACTCATCAGAAGAGGGCACCAGATCCCATGTGGTTGCTGGGAATCAAACTCAGAACCTTTGGAAGAGGGGCCAGTGCTCTTTTTTTTTTTTAAATTTTTTATTAATTACACTTTATTCATTTTGTATCCCCCCATAAGCCCCTCCCTCCTCCCCTCCCGATCCTGCCCTCCCTCCCCTTTCTGCATGCATGCCACTCCCCAAGTCCACTGATAGGGGAGGTTCTCCTCTTCTTTCTGATCTTAGTCTATCAGTTCTCATCAAAAGTGGCTGCATTGTCCTCTACCGTGGCCTGGTAAGGCTGCTCCCCCTCAGGGGGAGGTGATCAAAGAGCAGGCCAATCAGATTATGTCAGAGGCAGTCCCTCTTCCCATTACTATGTAACCCACTTGGACACTGAACTGCCATGGGCTACACCTATGCAGGGGTTCTGGGTTATCTCCACAAATAGTCCTTGGTTGGAGTATGATTTTCTGGGAAGTTCCCTGTATTCAAATTATCTTGTTCTGTTGCTCTGCTTGTGGAGTTCCCATCCCCTACAGCTCTTACTATTTCCCACTTCTTACATAAAATTCCATTCACTCTGCCCATCAGTTGTCCATCAGGCTCAGCATCTGCTTTGACAGTCTATACTGCAGAGGCTTTCAGAGGCCCTCTGTGGCAGGTTCCAAGGTTGTTTCCTGTTTTCTTCTGGCTTTCAGAGGCCCTCTGTAGCAGGTTCCGAGGTTGTTTCCTATTTTCTTTTTCTTCTGATGTCCATCTTCTTTGCCTTTCAGGATGGGGATTGAACATTTTAGTTAGGGTCTTCTCTTTTGCTTAGTTTGTTTAGATGTACAGATTTTAGTGGGTTTATTCTATGTTGTATGTTTATATGAGTGAGTATATACCATGCGTGTCTTTTTGCTTCTGGGACAACTCACTCAGGATGATCCTTTCCAGGTCCCACCATTTACCTGCAAATTTCATGATTTCCTTATTTTTCATTGCTGAGTAATACTCCATTGTATAGATGTACCACAGTTTCTGCATCCATTCCTCCATTGATGGACATCTGGGTTGTTTCCAGCTTCTGGCTATTACAAATAAAGCTGCTACAAACATGGTTGAGCAAATGTCCTTTTTGTGTACTTGAGCCTCTTTTGGGTATATGCCTAGGAGTGGTATGGCTGGATCTTGAGGAAGCGCTATTTCTAGTTGTCTGAGAAGGTGCCAGATTGATTTCCAGAGTGGTTGTACAAGTTTACATTCCCACCAGCAGTGGAGAAGGGTTCCCCTTTCTCCACAACCTCTCCAGCATGTGTTGTCCCTTGAGTTTTTCATCTTGGCCATTCTGATGGGTGTAAGATGAAATCTCAGGGTTGTTTTGATTTGCATTTCCCTAATGGCTAATGAGGTTGAGCATTTCTTTAAGTGCTTCTCTGCCATTCGATATTCCTCTACAGAGAATTCTCTCTTTAGCTCTGTTCCCCATTTTTTAAGTGGATTACTTGGTTTATTGTTTTTCAGCTTGTTTAGTTCTTTATATATATTGGATATGAGTCCTCTGTCAGATAAAGGGTTGGTGATGATTCTTTCCCAATCTGTAGGCAGTCGCTTTGTTTTGATGACGGTGTCCTTTGCTTTACAGAAGCTTTTCAATTTCATGAGGTCCCATTTATTGATTGTTGCTCTTAGAGCCTGTGTTGTTGGTGTTCTGTTCAGGAAGTTTTCTCCTGTACCAATGAGTCCTAGGGTATCCCCCACTTTTTTTTCTAGCCGATTTAATGTGTCTGGTTTTATGTTGAGGTCTTTGATCCACTTGGACTTCAGTTTTGTGCAGGGTGATAAGTATGGATCTATTTTCATTTTCTACATGTAGATATCCAGTTGGACCAGCACCATTTGTTGAAGATGCTATCTTTTTTCCATTGTATGGTTTTGGCATCTTTGTCAAAGATCAGGTGTCCATAAGTGTGTGGGTTTATTTCTGGGTCTTCTGTTCTGTTCCATTGATCCACCATTCTGTTTCTATGCCAGTACCGTGCAGTTTTTATAACTGTTGCTCTATAGTACAGCTTGAGATCAGGGATGGAGATACCTCCAGAAGATCTTTTGTTGTAGAGGATTGTTTTAGCAATTCTTGGTTTCTTGTTATTCCATACGAAGTTGAGAATTTTTCTTTCCAGGTCTGTAAAGAATTGTGTTGGCAATTTGATGGGAATTGCATTAAATCTGTAGATTGCTTTTGGTAAGATGGCCATTTTTACTATGTTAATCCTGCCAAGCCATGAGCATGGGAGATCTTTCCATCTTCTCATATCTTCCTCTAATTCTTTCTTCAGAGACTTGAAATTTTTTTCATACAAGTCTTTGACTTGTTTGGTTAGGGTTACACCAATGTACTTTATGTCATTTGTGGCTATTGTGAAGGGTGTTGTTTCTCTAATTTCTTTCTCAGCCCTTTTGTCTTTTGTATACAGGAGTGCTACTGATTTTTTTGAGTTAATTTTGTATCCGGCCACTTTGCTGAAGGTGTTTATCAGCTGTAGGAGTTCCCTGGTAGAGTTTTGGGGGTCACTCATGTATACTATCTTATCATCTGCAAATAGTGATAATTTGACTTCTTCCTTTCCCATCTGTATCCCCTTGATCTCCTTCAACTGTCTTATTGCTCTAGCAAGGACTTCCAGCACTATATTGAAGAGATATGGAGAGAGTGGGTAGCCTTGTCTTGTCCCTGACTTCAGTGGGATTGCTTTAAGTTTCTCTCCGTTCAGTTTGATGTTGGCTATAGGCTTGCTGTATATTGCCTTTACTATGTCTAGATATATGCCTCGTATCCCTGATCTCTCCAGTACTTTAAACATGAATGGATGTTGGATTTTGT